CCCCCAACTGATTTCATGCACAAACTAAACCTCAACCTCATCATCGATGGCAAAAAAGCCCTTCTACAACAGATGACGTTATCAATCCATTAACTTACCACCAAAAGTTACTCTCTTTTTTTTGGCCAACAGAATAGACATACTCTATTAAACTTAAAAATGTCTATAAACATAAAACAAAGCATAAACATAGACTCAAAGAACTAAAATCAAAGACATAGAACACACCAAGGCAAGTAACCTTAGTAACCAATCACACAAGGAAGGAAGGATCCAGAGATTCATGTGCTACACATCCTTGCTAGAAAACAACTTTTCAAAAGCTTGAAATTTGTTCCTCTCATCTAGATGAAGATGAGCAAAGGCATAAGATGGATTCAAGGACTCATAGCTATACATCGAGGTATGATATACCAGCAACCCGCTGAAATCAGCTACATTAAGCCAAGGAACAATTGAATCACCACTAGGGAACCTAAGGGAGAATTGAGAGGGATGAGCTACGCAAGATGCCGCTTTGATATTGCAACCATGCTCTAAGAGGAGATGCACAAACAGAGGTACAAGAAATCCGTCACCAACCCTCCACAATAATAAGTTGAACCAAAACCATCTCACACCAAAACCTATCACACCTCTAACTAGGGTCTCTAGAAGCCAAGAACAATCAAAAGTAACAATAATAGTACTAAACTTGACATAAACAACACAAAGAGACAAGAAAAAACAAATAGTAGGGCATAAAAGATTGAACATTGAAGCATTTTAAAGGCCAAGGTCAACCCCAAACCTTGGCCAATATTCTCATAAGGAATCATGGCTAAGTAGTGGTTTTAAAGCAACCAGTAAGCCCATCATCACAGCTCTTTGCAAAAATAGAGACATGTTAGAAACAACATCCTAATGTCAGAGCAACATAATGAATTGGGAAAGGGATTAACATATTTGATTTTGCATCACCAATCCCACAAGATCTCCAATATGCTCATCTATTATCCTAATGTCGAAGCTCTATTCTCATATATCCAAAAGATGTCTATGAAGACTTTGTCAGGTTCAATGATAGGGCTTTGCTCCTTTGGTCATTTCTCTTGGATGATCCACGAGCACTACACTTATATGTTTACAGTTGCTCCATTCACCTTTTCAGCCGATCAATTGGAGTTGAGCCAATTGGTCATCATGTGAGAGATTTGCTCCTTCAACTGTATACTTGAAACAAACCCAAGAGCTAGCTTAAAAGAATCCATAATATCCCAATCAAAGTTTCAACAACAAATCAAAGGAGTTAACTGATTTTGATTTAGGATTTTTAGGGTTTTTAATTTTTGGATTTTTAGAGATTTTGATATGAGAAAACTAGGGATTTAGCGTTAATTTGGATTGAAAAAGTCGGAAGGAAAGGAAAAGAGGAGGAGGGGGATATGTCTCTTCTTCTCATGTTTAGGTTATTAATTTTAATAGAGAAAGAGAGAGATAAAATCCTTCACATTGAAGAGATTGCAAGAAAAATTGACTTTATATATTTAATTTTTAAAATTTTTTTAAATAAATATATAAAAATATTTTACATCAATTTTTTTAATTAATAACTTTAAAAAATTTTGTTTTATCTTATATTTTTTAAATTATTTAATTAAATAAAAATATTATCCTTCGTTCTCTTCTTTTCTTTCTTTTTTTTTTTCTATTTAAACAAAATTAACATATATTCTTTACGTTCTTCTATTCACTTCTCCTTTATTCTCTCTCCTCTTATTTTTCTTTTGTTTTCTTTCCTTTATTAATTGTTATCCAAACAAACGCTTAAAATTAAAAGATAAACTAAAATAGAAGAGAAAAGTAAGAAATCAAGAGGCAGTGAAGAAATCGAAAGGAAAGAAGAAGGAAATTAAGAAGGAGGCCCAACAGAAGCACGGAGGCGGTTCTCCATGGAAGAGCGGAACTTTACATCGAGAGCGGTTTTTCAATGTGGTAAAATGATAAGTGATGTTCCCCATCAAAAGTTACTTAGGTGGCATTTTTTCCTCATATAATGACAGGTTTTTTATTTTGATCAATCATGCTTTTTTATAAATTAATTAATAAAGATAATCATCTTAAATGCATAACTCGGAAACTGTCCATATATACCCAAATCAAAGATTTAGCAAGAGACCCAGAATCAAACACAGTGAAGAACAACTTCACTCATTGGATCGCATTTCTTAATGAGGAGGGATGATGCTCATCCTCATCTGAAAATCATATCTTCAGTTTTTAACAAATAATTAACTTAATCTATTAGCTATTGCTTTTATATAAAAAAAAAAAAACAGTGAAAAAGAAAAAAGATGCATCACCACTCTGTGCTAATTTCAATTTTCTAGATCTGAAATCTCCAAAAGAGAATTAAAAAAAAAAATTAAACAAAGAAACAGATTTGGGAACCCCTTCTTTACACCGTTCTTCTTTTTCCTTTCTCTTTTTCATCATAACCGAAAAGTAAGCCCTATGGAACGTGGCATTTGACATTGTAAGTTCAGGTAAGGGATAATAATATCTGTAACAGTAAATTCTCATTTTCATGACAGGACTCCAAATCAAGACTTATGGCACTGTAAATATTTTAATTAATTAATTGATAAAATAAAATTAAAGTCAATTTTATTTTTACATAATAATTAACGAAAAATGTATAATAATATATCTTGAAAGCACAAATTAAATTTTTTTTATTAATTAAGTAGTTTAATTAAATTTAAGAAGTCATTTAAGAGGATTATTTTAGTAAAATGTATCATTATTGATTAAAATTAAAAATGTCATTATTTTAGTAAAAAAGCTACCTATGTATATGTATAATATTAATTACTTGATTAGAAAATATTAAATCACTTAAACAAATGCCAAGTTATCCTTGAGGTCTACGAAAATGCTAACTAAGGAACTATTGCCGGGAATTTAACGGATTGACAGCGTCAGGGGCTCTTTTTGTCATTGGCGATAAGTTGACGGCTTAATCTGCACTGCAGAAAAAGTTGATGGGGGTTATCTGAATGTTTGTCAAATATTTATAATTTCTCCTGCTATGGAAAAAAAACAAAATAAAAACCATAAACTTTCTCCAATAATAAAATGCATTGACTTACATGAGTCCTGGAGCACAGCGTTGCGTTGCATTAGAATTGAGGAAGTTTCCCCCGGACACCTTGATTCTCATTTCCGTGTTTTTTTTGGGCCGTCATTGACTCGATCAACTATTACACCTATCTCCACACAACTCAAAATTTTGACGCCACTAAATGGGCTAAATTGGCTAAGAAATATCCAATTACAGCCATTTAAGCCCAAGAAAATTGGGCTATAAGTCCAGCCCTTATATGACTTCATTAAGCCCTCCCCTACCTTCTCCATTAAATTGCCTATCACCACCAAATTCTGAGGTTGGTGGGTGCCTGGGTGGTTCCACTCCCATCGCCCATGTCTGCCTCTCATTCCATTTCATGTTTTCTTTTCTTTTCTTTTCCTTTTTTTTTTTTTTTACCTCAACTTCCGAGTTCCATCTCCCCCATTATTTTTCTTTCCAAAATTTTGTTGGTTTTCCTAATACCAATTTCATTGTTGGAAAAATTCTAAATTTGGAGGATTCTGAATTCCTATTCTACAATCAGTTCATTGCACTAGCGGTTTGTCTTAGAAGAGGAATCCTTCGATATCATAATGGGTGTGTGTGACTCCCTTCCTTCTTATCAAAACAGATTCATCAAAATAGATTTGGTCTGGGATGCCAAGTGAGCTGTAAAGGAAAAGTTTTGAAGGATCGATTATAAGGTTCTGTATTTTCTCCAAGAACAATAACACAACCATAATCAAATGTTGTTGGAACATGCAAGAGTAGGTCTTGAAAATTTTTGTGCTTCACTATTTCATCTATTCTTTCTTTTTCATGCTTAATTTTTGTTCCACTTGAATTTTTATTCGATTATGTTACTTTTGTCATATTCTTTAGCTTCTTGTTGGGGATTAAGCATTGTTTCTTACCAACATACCAACAGAACAAAATAAGTCTAGAGGTAACTTTCTGCTCTCTGTACTTTATATCCTTTGTGCTTCTATTATTATTGAAAAATATGATACAGAATGAATAAGAAATTAGAGCCCTCCTCGATGCTCTCAGTTGTGGTCATCATGGGAATGCTACCTTCTTTTTTTAGTTTTTGGTTTTCTTGCCTTGGCATATCCCTGCTGACCTCTCTTCTTTTGCAGAGAAGTGTTTTGTAAGTATCCATTTTTCTAATTTCTTCGCAGATAAATTAATAGATATGTTCTATTTCTAGACACATCTACTACTTTTTTTCTTTTTTTTTTTTCTTTTTCTCTATTTAGCTTTTGTTTTCCTCTTTAATGTCAAAACGTTTTAACTTTCCTTTCAATTCTTGCAACATTGATACATTGATACATTAATCATGGTACTTACATGTTTTGGTGACTATCAGGGAATTGCAAATTGTGATGGAACATTGAGGAGGCACTAGATCAATATGGGCAATTTCGGTAATTCTTGGCTCAGTTTTAATAATATTAAGAATTGTAAGTACCTCTTCCCAACTAATTTTTGTGAAATGACATGTAGATGAAAAGGGAGAATGAATGACTTATTAGAACCTTGGTCTTTTTAAAATTCTTTGTAAAGGTTTCTTGCCTTTGGGATAGTGTAATAATGACTCACATGTTGGGGTTAATTTGTTAAAAAAGTAAATAATTATAATTTTATTATTTCTCTTGCCGCTACTTCACTTGCAAATGTTTGATGCTTCAACCAAAATGATTTTAGATTTATGCTGCATGATGCTTTGAAGATAAATTTTCATACAAGACAATTTTTTATTTTTGTCTTTTTTGGGGGATCAAGATTGGCTTTATAGAGTTGACATTCCTTGATGTTCACATTACCAATTTGTAGTTTTGATTACTAAGAAAATATTATCCTTTCATAGAAAAGGAAAGATTTAAAAGTTGGTTTTTCATTCTAACTTAACATTGAACATAATTGGATTGGATGTGGTAGATTGTATTCTGACTGACCTGTAAAATTTATGAGTTCCTAATTTCTCATAAGAAATAAGGATAAAATGCAATAACATTGATTAGGGTGTGTCCAAGAATGGTTTGGTAGAATTAGCTAATATTCCTTTGCTTAAGTTGTATTTTTTTTCTGTCAACAAGTAATTGATTATCATGTTGTTAATTTTATCCAACTTTGGTTCTATTTTGCTTCAAGATAATGTAATTCCATAAACTAATTCAGTTCTCTTATGGAAAGGCCTCTTAATTTAGGTTATGATCCTCTTGCAATTAATGAGGTGATTCTAAATACACAATAAAACATGTATTCCAGAAAACCCATTGGAAGCCACCACTTGAAGTATAGTACAAGCCATGAAATTATACCTTGAATTAGATGCACAAACTTGAATTCATTTCCTAGAATCTCTTCCCACTAGGTACAATATGGTGTTATAAAGATATTCAGAAGATTAGGTTTAAGGTAGAGTTTTAGAATTTGACTTTCATGAATTTTAGGAATTTATGTTTTCTTATTGTTGAACCAAATGGGGTAATTTATTATTACATTCTCTATTATACCAAAATTCAAAAAAAGAAAGAAAAAAGAAACAGGGTAAAAAGATATCAATGCATTGCAGACACATGGAAACAAGAAAGGGAGTTAATTGCAAAATTGTACTAATTTAATGTTCTCTCCATGTTTAATTAAAAAAAGGGATCATAGAGTTGGAAACTTGCCGTCTCCCCATTGTAGCAACGGTTGTACACATAGTCAAAGATCCAAGATGCCCGTGGCCCATGCACCTTGCAATAACAAAAGAAAAATTGGCAAACAAAATAGATTTGCCTATCCATTATGTTATAATCTATAAATCATCTCACAATAAGCACATTTACAATGAATATTACCTTTAGGTAACATGAAGATGCAACGATCACTACAACAACACAATGTACCTGTGTGAAAATCCACTTTATTGTTGAAAATTCAAATATAAGATCGACATTTAATTAAATCACAAACTATTACCTTATCCCATAACTCACTCCATAACATTGTGGAATACTTACATTATTGCAGATTAAAAAAAAAATTACCTGCAATACCATGGGGATTGCAAGGCAATCTAAGAAATGAAGATTTTGAATATAAAGCTTTTTTTTGTTAAAATATCTAAGAGCAAACTTTATGATTACCTAAACTACTAAAGTAACCAGATGCCTTATGCACAATTGAAAACTTTATGATTTCTTGTGATGGAGACTTCTTACTACCAAATCTTGTAGGTGTATGAACAACTTCTTGCACAATCCATTTGCTTTTTTGAATATCCTGATTACTGGTTCTGGCTGGATCTATGTGCAATTAACTTTATAAATCATCTGTTACCATAAGAGATTATGCTATTGAAAGACTTATAGAGGTCTTTTGGGGAGATGATAATGGGTTAATTTGTTAAAAATTATTGTATTTGTTGTTAATTTTGTTATCTTTGTAGTATTGATTCCAAGAAACATGTTGATAAAGGATTCTCCAGATCTATTCCAGTTTGTGAAAGATGTTGTGGAAAAGCTAGGCTATGAAGCATGGAATTAATCTTCTCATGAATTTAAAACATGCTTATATGTTAAGTTTTGTCTGTTTCCTACTTTGTTTGCTCTTTTGGATTCCATAATATCTATTAAAAGGTATTGGTTGGTGTTTGAACTTTGAAGTCTATGGAGATAATTAATACAAAAGGTGTGAATTAAAGAAGGGATAATTATATGTGTAATGACAGTAGTGGATATGTATTTAATCACTGCCTAGCTTATTTAGTTTAACATATAATTGGAGTTACAGTTACTCATCTTTGCTTCAACAGGCTTTAGCCTTGGAATAACTAGACAACCTGAAAGATGACTGCCTTGATGATAACCATTTAATGTTTTCTATGATGATTCTTCTTGAAATATTTAAAGATCTAGTTTGAAAGTATTAGCTTTGACATGTAACCATGCCTTTGTAATTGTATGATTATTGATGTTACAGTTACTCATCTTTGCTTCAACAGGCTTTAGCCTTGGAATAACTAGACAACCTTGAAAGATGACTGCCTTAATGATAACCATTTAATGTTTTCTACGATGATTCTTCTTGAAATATTTAAAGATCTAGTTTGAAAGTATTAGCTTTGACATGTAACTATGCCTTTGTAATTGTATGATTATTGGTGTTGGAATAAACTGATAACTTACTTTGTTGAAGGAAACCATTCACTTTTACTGAGTTTTGACTCTTTGAATTGAAATTGTCCAGTCTGCATGATTACTAAAAGAGTGATGAATACTTGCTTTGCAAAATTATGCATGAGAAAGGTGATAAGAGGTTTATTAACTGTATATCATTTTCATCTTCAAAATAGATGAACAAAATTAACCTCCTGTTATTACAATTTGCAACCAGGGGAAAGTGATATTCTAAGTGTGGATGCACAGCCCTCTGGTGCCATAAACTTAGCTAACAGATGCAATGTATGAACTTTTAACAGCTCAGTTATAACATTAAAACTTCAAATGGTAGTTGCTGTATTTGAGTTGCTTCACATATAATGTCAGTTCCAACTTTCAAGGTTAAGAAATGTCCTGGCTTGATTTGATTTGACAGAGCTAGTTTAATCATTTGAATGAAGCATGATATTGTTATACTTATATCAGCTTATTGAGTTTTCATCTCTGTTAAGCATAATCAAAAGTTATCTTCTTTTGGACTGCAATTAGCAATATGCCTTGCAATCTGCCTCTCTTACTCCTCCTACCCCCTAGCCTTTTGCCTCCTGTCCTCTCAGCTTTGCATCCTCTTGTGTTATAGCTTAGATTAGCTGTTAGCTTCTCCTAAGGTCTTGAGTGAAATTTGTTGTATGCAGGCTCCAATATATGTAAATTAACAAATTGTCTTGGTAGATGCTGTTAGAATAGGCAGAGTGCATGATCGAAAGCCTACTTATGATGTATTCCTTGACAGGGATTGTCCACAGTTCCTCCCTATTGTCTCCCCTTATTGCCTATCTTACAGTAGTCTAACAGTTGGCTGTATCTTTTCCAGTGCTGCAGATGGTCCAGATTTACTGTCTAAAGAACTGGAATTGGTTAGAAATATTGATTTAGCAGTCAAAGAGGAAAGATATGATGATGCAGGTAACAAGAATAGGAATTTTAAGAGTTTGCTTAAGAGACTGATTTTTTCCATCCCTATTTTCTCCTTTATTTTGGTTCATTTGTTCCTAGCAACCTCTTTCAATGCTATACTTCTCCTTTCTGTTTATCAATCATGCATTTGTTGCTCTTACAGTCTAAAATGGACTTATAATTGCCTATTGGTTGTTGCAGCAATGTGGAAAGACAAGCTAATGAAACTTCGCAATTCACAAGATGATCATTAGCTGACCCTCGACATATGTCCACTTACCTTTAGGTGCTGGTTAATTGGCTTATAGGCACTCTCTTTTTGGGAGTGCAATGCTTGACCAAGGGTGTAAGGATAAATCATTCTGTTTGGTGGCATTCCTGATTACTGTAGTTCAGGTATCGTTTGACATCTCCAGGGATTTATAGGATGAACGCTTGCCAGAATGGAAGCTGTGGAGTCTTTTGGCCTAGCATTTCTCGGTAATTTAATATGCTAGGAACTATACTTGTGTAATTTAAGATACTTGAAAGAGGACAAGTACAGATTCAACTTATAGTGAAGTTCCCTGGTTTGAAACATGATTTGTTCATATAGCCAAAATGTGATATATATTCAATTTGCATATTGAACTACATGGAACATGTTTGTAAGTATTCTCATTTATATTTGGAAAAGAATATATATTCTGTTGGAAATCATTTGTATGTTGTTTTAGATTAAACCCTCTCCTTTCCAAACATCTCCCTACTCATCTCAAAATAAAATTCAAATTCTTAACTATTAGAACATTCAGGACAATTTTGCAATAAAATTACGAACACTAGAATTACATTCTGATGCATCCTATGAAATGATACACATACATTACATCTGAAACCCATTTTATGCAGGTAATGGGACCATGCAAGACTATGAAATGATACACATACGTACATTACATCTGAAACCAATTTTATACAGGTAATCGGACCATGCCTCTTGCCGGCCCACTGGTGTGACGATCAAAGAGATTCCTTATGTTGATCATTGGAATTGTTGTAGTACACCATTGTAACAAGTTTGTTGCCCAATTTTTCACCATATCAAATACTATATTGATAGATTCAGATATTGCGCTGGTAAAATTTGCTACTCTGTCAATGGTAGTAGATGGTATCAGTGGTTGGTTTAACTCCTGAATCAAGCTGCTAGTAAGGTGTGTAGCAAACAGGAGCCACACAAGTAACGAGACCAAGGCAACATATAGCTTGATAATTGAAAGTAGTGAGATTATCGCCAATGAACCTGACAGGATGGAGATAGTCCTCAGAATTTGACTCCAGTGGCGTGTGCGGAAGTTGAATCGACCTCCTGTTCCGAGACTAACATCGGCAAATAGTGTTGTAGCACACAACACCATCATCACACAATATGCTGACAACATGAAAGCATGCATGGGCCGAGACGGGGGCGCAAGTTCGATCAAGGGAGTGAATGCCGTTAATAGGAGGCCCAATATAGCTATTGTTTCAGCATAAAAGGGCTCGCCTGGCCTGCAAGCGAAACCACAATAAAAATGGGATTTCCATGCCATAAAAGAAAAGTATATTTCAAAAATATAACATTAATTTGCTCCAATTTTTCAAATAATAATAATAAAAATTGCTCCATCTTCAACTTTTATATTAAAGAAGATTACTTTAATATATGAATCAGATAAACACAAAAATATAAACACTAAATCTAATGGTTTAGGTACAATCCAAAGCAAAAATAAATAAATAAATAAATAACAGTTGACTTATTTCTTGATTACCAAGGTAAATATTCATCATTCTAAAAAAGCGAGGAAAAAAAAGGGTAAAATGAAGAGAGAGGAACACAACTGAGGAGATGAAAGATAAAAATGTGTAACAACCTCAGTATCTGAAGAATTTGGCCGCGGGGGAACGACATCACGGACGGCAGAGATAAGAGAAGCGAAGACAAGGAGAATGAGTAGAGCTTCTTTGTACTTGTTGCTTTACTCCAGTTTGCTGGTGCTTTATATAGTGGACAAAGAGGGCGGTGAAATGAATTAGGTGGTTGTTTTGCTTTCCGATCAGCCTAATTTTTCAAAGTCAGGCCCTAGAAAGTGGGCCCCGGATCGGCCACCAAGTTGGTCATGGGGGCAGCAAATCATCAGCGGTTCCAGAACAAAATAAAGATATGAAGGCCAAAAAATATTGGTTAAATGCCAAACTTGGTCCCTCATCTTTTATTTTTGAACCAAATCTACCCATGAATTTCAAAACGTACTAAAATTATCTTTGAACTTTAATTTTTTATACCAATTTTGTCTTTCTGTCAATTAAATGATGATGTGGTGAAATTTTCCATTAACTAAGTCAATTTCTTTTAATATTGAATATTAGGTGGGAAAAAAAATGGTGATATGGCATATTTTGTAATCTATGTGGCATTTTTTGGTTAAATACCCAATTTGCCCTCCCCATCCTTTTTTCTTCCTCATCCTTCTTCCCTCATGCGCCCTCTCCTCACCAACTCACCTAATCACTTTGATGACGTGCGAGTCTACATCTCTAGCAAGGTTCGGAAGCGAAGGTTCATCCTTAGTTGATCTAGCCTTTTCTCTCTTTCTCTTCAATGGATCTCTAGCCCCTTTCTCCTCCTTCATTCCCTCATCTTTTCTCCTATTCACCCCTCATTTTCCCAAACATTAGACATGCATGAGGCAACTATCTAATCAAAGGTGAGCTTTCATCTTATTTCTCTCTTTTCTTCTTTTTCGCTTCTCCTTTATAGAGGGATGGGCTAAGGAGGAATCTAAAGCTGGGTTTCAGATCTGTCGTAGGCCATGATTCTAGATCTGTTGTAGGCTAGGGTTCAACCTTAGTTTCCTTTGGCTTTTGCTTTGAATTTAGGTTTCATTTCTAGGTTGATTTGTGGAAATTTTATATACATAAATTTGGTTTTGTTGATGAGATTTCTTCCATGAAAAGTATACCAAGGAGATCGAGAATGTCAGCTAAGGAAGATCAAGCTTAAAAGAATCCATAAGGTCCTAATTAGAGTTTTAGCAAAAAATCAAAGGAGTTAACAAGTCTTGATTTTGGATCTTAAGGGTTTTTAATTTTAGGTTTTTAGGGATTTTGATTAGAAAAACTAAGAATTTAGCCTTAGTTTGGATTAAGGAAGTTGGGGGTAAAGGGAAGGAAAGGAAGGGAAGATATCTACTTTCGTGTTTGGGTTATTAATTTTAATGAAAGGAAAGAGAGATAAAACTCTATTTTCTCTTTTATTTTGAACCTCTCTAAATTAGAGAGAATGAGAGAGATTGGCTTTATATATAAATAGAAATATGAAGAAAAAGAGTGCTATGGAAAGATGATGAAAGGGAGAATTTGAGGTAGAAGAATGGCATGAAAAACAAAGAATGATTTTTTTTTTTTGTTTAACAGTTAAAGTCTAACAAAAATTATTTAT